TGAAGCCAGGACAGGTGTTACACGTCATATGTCATTGGATCTAATGCAATCATACACATAAATAAACAAAAATTTCCTGTTTCTCCATCCCTTTAAAAAGCTAAGCGCATACTAACATCAAATCATCGCTAAAAATCCATTTTCAGTCAAGGGTCAGTGAATCGAAGATGAACGATACTTGTGTATAGTAGTTTATCATTTAATTTCTTTGGACGATTAATAAGTTCTAATCTCTCGGCATTTAGCATTGATAATATTTTTTGTAATATATTTTTTGCATTATGACCACGAACTAATAAACGAGTAAATAAATTATAAAATTCATACCATTTTGTTGTAGGTGATGAAGAAATACGAATTATTCTATTAGATAAACTCAGTGGAATATTATTTATAATGTGACGTGGACGTGCAGATGAATACTGAAGGTACCCATGTGATAAACACACAGTGACACACAGTGACCAGTGAGTGTGACGGACCTACATACATACAGTCATGTGGCAGTATCACGGAAGTACATACACAGAATCACTAATGAGTGTCGCGGACAAAGAGCCACATCAGTAGATGCATTCGGGTTTTCTGTGGAATCAGAGACGTGTAACACCTGTCCTGGCTTCAAGCGCGGACCGAAGAGACGTGTGAGCTTTGCGTACCATATACTAAGACGAAATGGTTTATTTTCAAGCATCCCCTATCTAGTTACCATGCTTGAGTGATCATATTTTCCCATTTTCACCCATAAGCAAGAGAGGATGCAACTAGTCTTTAGTATGGAGGCCATGACTATGGTCTGCTATCTAAGATCCACCTGTACGTGGATTTTGGGACTCAGATGCTGAATAAAAAGCAATCAAAGGTGGGAGAGAGATAAAAACGAGTTAAGGTGCGACAATAAAGCAGAATGGATAGTACCGGGTGTGAACTCGTGAAAACGTTTGTTCTAGAATATCTTTAAAAAAATTTGTTATAACGAGTGCGAAGGTGTCTGGTATGTTAACGCGTTTAGAAAACTGTATGGTTCGAATTCGTTAAAATTAAAAGAGTTTGAACGCTTTACTATGAGGTCAAACGTTACAAATTGAACTCGTTATGACCACCGAAGATGAAACATCTAACGCGGTTTTAACGCGATACCGAAAATACCGACTTTTTTTACTTAGAATTTTTTGGATTTTTTCATTTGAAATGAGATGTTTTAGCATCCTGGACACCCAGAATGAATCAGGGACGGAAAACAAGAGCTTTGTTTGCTTTCTAAAGCCAAAGTTTTTCTTTTCTTTCTATCTGAACATGCTCAAAATACACAGCTGAGTGTTGTTTATACGTTCTGCTTGTCCAGGATGCTAAAATACCTCATTTCAAATGAAAAAATCCAAAAAATTCCAAGTAAAAAAAGTCGGTATTTTCGGTATTCGGTATACCGATATCGGTGCATACCTACCTGCGTTAGGGCATCAAAAATATTTCATGGGATGTTGTGTGCTTCATTTGCTTCTTCGTTTTTCTTATTTTGGCACATAATACACATATACAACGACTCTTTTTGTTAAACTCAACATAAAAAAAGAACAAATTCTGTTTTCATGGAATATCTGTCGATTATATGAATAAGGAAGAGAATGGTTCATCAGAATGCGTTCATTAGAAATTTTATTATATAATAAAATTCGATGATAAAGAATTACAAATTTTTTGAAAATCAAAACTTCTTCAGCACTTTTTCTGGAAAGTACAAAGTATATAGTACCGTTTGTGCATTTCAAATTCATATAAGAAGTGCAAATGGATCCGCTCTAGTTAATTTAATTCTAATTCGCGAAGTTGACAGAATATAGGATGAGCACTGCTTCCTTTGGACATGTAATAAATGAATATCTCAATTAAAATAGAAAACTCGTTCTTTTCTATGAACAGAAATAAAATTCTATACAGATATATAAGAAAAATATATGAGACGTAAGAAATGATAAATAGCAAATATTGATCATTTATCGTTATTGATAATAACCTATGAATTCCAAAAAATTTGGCCTTACTTTATGTAACAATATGTGATGTGTTTAAAAATACCTCTGATTAGCTCGATTATATAACTTTTACATAAAAACTCTTAAGACATAAACGTTGCAGAATTAAGACTACCATGATCCGAAGAGAAAGCCGGAAAGTCATGCTGGTCAAGAACTCCTCTAAGAAATGATTCCGCTTGTTAATTGGCAGAAAACGTACATCTGTGTTATATTCAGCTCCATTATCGACAGCCCTGTATCTTATAAAGTAGACTGTACCCGTTTTCTAAAAAATGTATTGGCGTATGGTATATCTTGTGTACTTCAAACTAACATAGAAAACGGTGATAGGTACATTCTAGTTAGTTTTATTTTAATCTGTCAAGTTGACAGAATATAGAGTAATTTCACAGTGAGTGCAGTGAACATTTCGATCAAAAGAAAAACATTTTCAAACTTAGAAGCAATATCTATCATCTATATGTGGCGGGGTTCAGTAAACGAAATATGAATTTCTGAACTTTGGTTTAAAAGAATTTTTTGTTGAAAATGGATAACATAAAAGTCAGAGGTTAATATCTCGACAATTGTTCGACCACTATTTTGGAATTGAATCAAGAATTTATCATCTCGCTTTCCCATTCATATAACTTTATAACTTGTTGTTACTTGAACAACATCCCATCCTAGGCGAATAACTTGAACAAATCGAAGAGGAATATCGGTATTTTTATTATAATAAATTTCTTCACATGGATAAATTCCTCCACTGTCAGTTTGACATGTTACATTTGCATACCAATAATCTTCATTTTGAGCAGAACTATTTGAATGTATCATCATAATTAAATTTGAGATAATTTTTTATTTCATAGGAAGTTCCATTAAGCCAATACGAAGGAAATGAATTAAATGTATTTCCACCATATTTCCAATATGTACCATACATACAAACGCGAGGTGGAGAATCTACTAATAATTGAACATAATATTTTGATTGAAGTGAATCAGGAATTGCATATGGAAAATGTTCCATAACATATGAAGTTTCTCTTAATGAAAGATTCACAGCAAATGCTTCACAAGCTCTTTGATTTATTTCATCAATTGCATATATTGTTTGTCCATTATCAGGAGAAAATACAATTTGAGGTGGAAAACATGGTTGTACACATTGCCCTGTATAATACCAGAAAATAAATGATATTAAATACAAATATATTTTCATTATTTCGACATTCTAAAATAATGTCATGAATATCAGTGTCGATTTATCAAACTATGTTTTATCGTTATATACAAAAGAAGAAATCATCGTAAAATGATGAACTAGCAAAAAAACCCACAGCACTGAAAAATTTTCATCCCTATGTTTGCGTAAGCTTCTTTTACCGATATTATTATCCTACTTGTATCAGTTCGATATCTACCTTCTTCTATTCTTCTTTTGTCGAACAAAACGAGGTCTTTTTTCCATTTAAATACTCGAGCAAATGACAGAGTTCTAATAAAAATATTCCGGCTTGTCCAACGGTAACGGTGTTACGTTTTGGACTCACTAAAATGAAATTATCTTGGAAACTAAAATAGTTAAAAAGCTCATTTAAACGCCATTCGATGCAGCTCGTCGACCCCCATTTACGGTATAGAAACGAAATTTTTTGCATGAAGTCTCGAATATTGAGAACGGTTTTTGTAGGCCGTAACGGCGTTACGAAAAAAGACTCTTTTTTTCGAGCGCTGTCAACAAAAACATGAATTTCAACAAAGGTAAAGGTCATAATGAAAAGTTTTTAGCACAGAAATTAGAGCACCGAACGGCCTATCCGATGGTAAAAAGAAGAATTTTTCCAACATCTTCAGTTAAGGCGGAAACACCAAAACATAAACGTAACGGCGTTACGCACTATTTTGGTCGAGTGTTTTCGAGGGACTTAACATGATCAGAAGATTTTGATATTATACAGATAATTATTCGTGCTACAGTCAGCCGACATACGCAAGAATAAAGTCGCTACCTCGCGTTGGAGGGTCAAAAACTGTAAATTAAGTCGAAAAATGTACAAATATGTACAAATTTTCTAAAGCGCCGAAGCTCAAAACCAAATACGCCATTTTGTAAAGAATTAAATTTTCTACGAAACCATATGTTTAGAAATTTATTTTTCGAAAACTATCTCGGCTAAAAATAGAAAATCCGATTTTTGAAATGTTTCAAAACCGGTTTTGAGACTAAAAAACCAATTTTTATCAAAAAAGCGTTTTAAACGGGTTCTTAGAATTAAAAATTACATCTAGTGATGTGTGCAAAATTTTCGAAACCGAAAATTTTTTTTTTATAAACTTGATCAACGAAGTGTCGCGTTACGTGGACAAGCCGATTCACTAATGAAGAAAGTGTATTGGAAGACATTTTTAAAAATTCAATAAATTAATTCGAAATATTTATATAGTATATATACACTAATATTTATACGTTGATGCACCTTGCACATCGTTCTTGCCATGGTGACTATAGAATTCGTTGGATCCTACATGAATTGAAGTGTTCTTTCGATAAAATCTTTATTTCGATTATTTCATAAATATTCAAGATGGAAAAGAAAGAAATCTATTCAATAAAAATGGGATAGATATCAGCTGGAACAACATCGAACCCTCCACCATAAAAAATCGGAATAAGAGTTGTTTTAGGTCCATCTTTCACACGAGTTATTGTTAATGTTTGTTTTTCTTGAAAATTTTCACTATTAAAAGATAATTCTTCTAGTGATAATGTAAAACATTCATCACATTCAGTTGATTTCCATTGAATACGAACAGTATCATTGTTATTTATTCGATGTGGAGGAGTTATAAGCCAAATTTCAACTTTCTCACTTTGATGTAAACTCATTTTTGATGTTTGTGGATAATATAAAAGGCCAAGCATAACATCTCGACAAGCGACAAACCAGTTTCTGGGTATTGAATCAAAATATTTGTTATCTGGTTTTCCCACCAATATTATCTTATAATTTGTTGTTACCTGTAGAACATTCCATCCTCGACGAGTAACTCGAGTTGATCGAAGAGGAATATCGGTATTTTTATTATAATAAATTTCTTCACATGGATAAATTCCTCCACTGTCAGTTTGACATGTTACATTTGCATACCAATAATCTTCATTTTGAGCAGAACTATTTGAATGTATCATCATAATTAAATTTGAGATAATTTTTTATTTCATAGGAAGTTCCATTAAGCCAATACGAAGGAAATGAATTAAATGTATTTCCACCATATTTCCAATATGTTCCATACATACAATTATTTGATGGAAAGTCTACTAATAACTGAACATAATATTTTGATTGAAGTGAATCAGGAATTGCATATGGAAAATGTTTCATAACATATGAAGTTTCTCGTCCTGTAGGACTAAAACTAATTGTTTGATATGCTTGTTGATTTATTTCATCAATTGCAATTATTGTTTGACCGTTATCCGGAGAAAATACAATCTGAGGTGGGAAATTCGGTTGTGTACATTCTCCCAAATAACTTAATAGAATCAATGATATTAAACAGAACAAGATTTTCATTATCTAAAATTTCTAAACACGTATGAACAAAACTAAGACAAGATTACACTCTAAATTTTTGATGATCCGTTGCTTAAAAATGGGAAGAGTGTAGCAGATTGATTCGATGCGATATCTTGTCGATGATACAAGAATTTCGTTTTTCCTACCTTGACCGAATAATGTCATTTAAATATGAAACTTATAAATATGTTCAGCAGCTGTTCGATTTCTTCATTTATTTTTCTAATGGCACACAAAGATAAACCGTCATGCAGTGAGAATTTGACAAAAAAAAGCCCAGCACTATAGCATTTTTTCATCGTTATATTTGCTAAAATTTCGTTTTACAGACATTATTCCCCCACTTGTGTCAATCTTATATCGAAAAAAGAATTAAGTTTTTTTTTCACATATTCGTGCGAGATGACGCATATTGAATAGTAAAATGAATCGCGATTTAGTTTAAATTAGAAGTTTTATTTTATCGAAAGTGATGTGATCACAGCATGACGGTTTATCTTTGTGTGCCATTAGAAGAAGAAATGAAGAATGTCTTCCAGTACACTTTCTTCATTAGTGAATATTTTTATTAGAACTCTCATTTGTTCGAGTATTTAAATGGAAAAAAGACCTCGTTTTGTTCGACAAAAGAAGAATAGAAGAAGGTAGATATCGAACTGATACAAGTAGGATAATAATATCGGTAAAAGAAGCTCGTACGAATCAGAGTAAATTCAGAGAATAAAATTATTCATTGATTTTTGTGGCTTTTTTACTATCAGCAATAAAAACAAGTCGTTAGTTAATCTTGAGTAGAAAATCTTTGTCGTTAAGGTACATTCAGGTGACGTATTATAGATGTCAATATTGTTGCAATTAATAAATGGAATTCAGTTACCATCCCGTTGCTAATGACGAAAATATATTAGCCAAAAGAAAGGCAAATTTAATATGTGTTGTATGCGGTAGTGTGGCGTATGGTTGTAACTTCGATGCGTATGTATTTTTCAGTTAAGTTTTCACTCACTCACTTAATCATGATATAGCATAACCTGCGAATCGTGCAAGGCCTTTTTTCGTCGAAATGCATTGAAACAACGAGTAGGCTTCTTATCTTCTCCGTATATTTTTGAATGAGATAAAGAACGAGCTTACTACAGGGTTCCCTAGACAAAATACTATGCACTTTTTATCTGTGTCCCACTAGGTCCGGTTATGATCGGTTTAGAATTCTAATAAGTTCCTAGCAGGATGTTAGATATTACCATGAATCTGGAGCGGATCCTACCACTTAGGATCTTGTCAGGACTTTGTTTCTTCATGAAGAAGGATAGGCCGAAGTAATAAAACGTATACGAGTCAGTTTTAAATGTGTTTTACAGTTACAAAGAAAAATTTGATAATTCATGTGGAAATCGAGACTGTTCATAAATTGTGAGAGCTTACTTTTTCCAACGGGATATGTGTGTTGTGATGATGGTTGCAGTTGCTATACAGTTTATTAACCTAATAAAGATGTTGCAGATACATAGAATTTCTTAGACATCATTCGTGCTGCTAATCTAGTGACTTCTTCAAGCTCACCTTCATACCCTTTACTATCATAGACAATGCTTAGAATATCTGATTTAAAAGTCGCTAACGGAATCATCACTAGTGCTTCTCTAAAAGTTCTAAACATTGCTCCCAGACGCCTTTTGCATGCAAGAGATACATCTTTAATATGCCCTCCCCATGATAGATATGAGCTTAGCCGTACTCCAAGAAGCACTACTGACGTTTCACGCTTAATCACAATTTCATTGATAGTAAAATAAAAATTAATTGCTACTGACTGTTTGCGGTTTGTGAAGTATATCCATATACACTTTGAATAGTTTAATGTCATGCGATTTAATTGGCATCATCCCTTTATTTTGTATATGAAAGACTGGCAGTCCGCTGGAGTGCACAGAACGCTCATCGAGCATAGCAACGAACAGTCGTCGGCAAAAAGAATGGATAAAAGTGGCAACGCTATCACCACTGGAAGATCGTTTATAAACATCAGGAACAGTAGTGGCCCCAAAACAGAGCCTTGTGCGAAGGAACCTCTACTGTTTCTGAAAGCGATCCGCCTATCCGGACTCTTTGTCTCCGATCTGGCAAATAACTCTCAAACCATTTATATGGTGCTCCTTTCACACCCAACAAGGAAAGCTTCGTAAGCAAGATTTGGTGAGGAACACGATCGAAAGCTTTCTCAGAATCAAATATGACTTGATGGAATCAGTTCCATTTTCTAGATTTTTATAAACGTTATGAGTTAAAAAGAGAAGAGCGTGTGTTGTGGAACAATTTTTGCGGAAACTGAATTGAAAATTTGAAAAAAAGTGATGTTTATTTAGGTATGCTATCAGCTGATCGTAAATAAAACGTTTCAGCAGTTTACCAAGGATAGAAAGTAATGATACTGGCCGACATTTATCAATTAACGCCTTTGGGCTTCTCTTATGGATTGAAATAACATCAGCTAAGTTCCATGCCGAGGGATGAGCACCATTACGGATAGACAGAGTAAAGATATGATAAATAGCATCAAGAAGCTCGAGGCAACATTCCTTAAGAAACGTCACAGTGCACCATCCGGTCCCGCAACGATATCATTTCTCAGCTCACTTATTGCCTTAAATATCTGATTTTCTGAGGGCGGAATTAGTGTAAAAACGTCATTTATTTCTATTTTTGGTTTAACCGTTGGCCTTGTTTTGACACAAAACATTTTGAAAAATACTCATTGAAAAGTTCAGCTTTTTCATTGTTTGAAGAAGCGTTTCTATTCTCAAAAAACATAGTCGCCGGTAACTCGTTACCACCGTCATTAGCTCGAGAAATACCCTTCCAAACGTCTGCGATGACTTGCATTCTGCGGCTAACTTACAAAAATATTCTCGCTTACACCTTCTGAATTCCTCAGTTGCCTTATTCCTTAACGAGTGTAATTTTATAACGTTAAAAACAGCTGGATTTTGCTTAATCTTCAAAAACTGAATATTTCGTTGACGCCTTAATCTGTAATAATGTTTACTCGTGCAGAAAAAGAGGATCTGTTTTTTCTTTCTAACTTTTACGGGAACAAATTTATTTACACCGTTGTTTACTGCGTTTTGAAAAAACTTAAGAGCTTCGTGTACGTTATCCTGATCTGTAACATCCTTGCTACACAAGCGCAAAGATTCTTTTAAGCTTTCCCGATCACAGTCTCGGAAATCTCGCACCGTATTGTGATTTTTGCTTCCCGAAATGGAGATAGATGGAAATTTGGAAAATAGATTTCCATGATAAGACTTTCCCAGTGCATCAATCTGGTAGTAGCCAAGCAGAAGGATAACAAATATTATCTAAAGATGTTCCCTTTCGTGTAATAGAGCCGGTTGAGAGGTAAGAACGTACCAGCAAAAATAGCCAGGGAATCCTGCGTTCTCTGAAAAATTTTTGTCCGCCCTCGACGGCGACAAAAGTTTAACGACATGGCGGCGGAAGTCGTAACAATTTTTCTCCGCCTTCAGCGGCGGGGGCGCATCTCTCGGAATATACATAGCTTATTCGTTTCGTACGACAAGAAAAAACATTTTCCGTATCGTCGCACATTATGTTTTCTCTTTCCTTTACTGTTATCGTCATCCGCGACATATAACCTGCGTATATAGTTCACGACGGACGAAAGAACAGATACTAGAAAAATACCGGTTCTTGCGTCTTACGGCCCATCACTAAAGTTAGAAAAATAGATTATTGAGTATTACAGATTCATCCAGATATTTTGCAATATTCTATAGGGAGTGTCGTTTGTGCTCAATATCGATATATGTAAGTTTCCACGTGACGATACTATTTTTTGCCCTTTTGTGTCTGATTTTAAAGATAGTTTTAGCCCTTAAACTTTAACATCTATTAGTGAACAGTTGTCGGAAGATTTGATCTTTTAATCATATGTTATTTGTTAAAAATGTTATTTTTCAGTGCCCAGTCAGAATTTTCAGCGCTGAACATAGACTCTTCTTACGGGACTTATGTTTTAGAGAACAGTCTTTTAAAAACGAATTTTACTTGCACTATCCACTGAAAAAATAATCAAAATTCATGCAGGATCCCCGCAGTATTAAAATATCTGGGGATGTTTCTTACCTCTACGCAGGATTTTTATACTGCCACCTCTGACAGAACCCTGCATAGTTTATGTAGGGTTAGCATGGAAAAAATCCTTCGTAAAGGTAAGAAACATCGCAAGATTTTTTGACTTATTCAATTCACAAGTTTTGTCCTATTAGATCTGGCAGGATTTGTTGGTTGAAAGAACAAGGATTTTGTTCTTCGTGTCTATCCTGCATCAATCTTTTTTCACCAATGTCTGTTCAGGGTAACCGCGGAGGAGCTTGTGTGTATTTTTTATTTTTGGAAATTAAGTACTGTTTTTTAATAAAGTTATAAAAACTTTTCTCGTGTCCGATAATCTTCTAGAAAATGTATACCTTAATATTTTGACTTTAGCACGCATTTTCATATGTACAAAACCAAACTATTAATAAATAGCTGAAAAGATCTTTTTTATGTCAAGAATATTCTATTTTCTTCCATCAAAAAGAAATTAAAGTCATTAGAATGATCTCACCACTGTGACAAAAAGATGTACAGCAAAGCAGAGATATCAAACTATTCTAATTTGTTCAGCTTTTAATACTCTGTTGAATAGAGGTCTGCGGGACAGTCTCAGTCCCGGTCCCCCGGGACTTTTTACGGGACCGGGGCCCAGAAAAATCTTTTTTACGGTAGCGGGACCCAGAGGTCTGCGGGATTTGTCCCGGTCCCGTGGAACTTTTAACAGGACCGCAATCAGGTTTTTTTGAAAATAGTCTTGTATGAAGTTAAAAAATTTCTTTGAAAAAAATATTTACGGGATCACGGGACCGGGACCAAAAATGAGTTCTTTCCACGGGACCGGGACCGAGACCAAAACGTTTTTTGTTCACGGGATCGGAACCAAAAACGTTTCGTTCCGCAGACCTCCGCTGTTGAATGGTATATAACGTAAAAACTTCGGTAAAAACATTGACAAGTTATAATTAAAAATCTTTCCGGAAGTTTATTCGACAAGAGAAAAGCTTTTGTAATTTACAAGAAAATATGCAAAAGTACTTAACTTTCCAACAATACAAAATGCAGACAACTTCCTCCACGATCAGCCTGTACAGACATTGATGAGAAAAGATTGCAGGATGCCGCAGTATAGACATGGGGACAAAATTCACAAGCTATTACTTTTTATCATCACGGGAAAATCGTAGAGACCTTGCAGGGTTTGCATAGTGAGGTATTTTGTGTATTACAAGTGACAACAAGTAGGAAAAAATTCCGCAGGGTATGCAAAGAGAATCTGCGAGATATACCCGATGAACGCATGTAAACGCTCCTGCAACGTTCTTTTATAACAATGGTTCCAAAAATTGATCGTTGTCAAATTGAACAACCTTCTGGACGTCAATTGTTCTAGTAAGAGAAATATTGTTGTAAAAAAAACATTTGTGTTTGTTGTAGTTTACCACATTTACTTCTATTTTATAACTGCTTCAGTGTTAGGGGGCAACGCTGCTGCTGCCTCTTCCGGGAACAACACGCATAGACCGAGGTCAAAAAGTCAGTATTATAAATTTATGTTTTAGTTTCAAGTTACGCAATAATAGCATAGCGACATGACTTTTTTTATTGTTTAATTATATAACAGTATTCTTTGCATCAACTGCCATCATAATTTTTTTTAAGTAGTAGCCTTGTCAAGGATGACTGGTTTTTACATCAATAGGTGAAAAAACGACAGCATATGTACTATCTACAATATAATAACGTACACAAATCTTCGTTTTTTCAGCTTGTTTATTTGCCTATGTTACTTAATCACAGATTTTACCCTGACTATAAAAGAACGGTAAGTAAACCGATTGATGCTACTTTAATGCCAACCTTGCCTTGTTAACGATGAACAACATACGTATACCACCGTCACCGCCAAATACGTCGGAAAATTCGTCAGATGTAAGCGATGTACTGTGGCTTCATTTATTGATCGAACTAATAAGCCGTATGAATGATTCAGATGATGAAGCAAAAAATGATTTATTACAATTATGGAGAATGCAGTATGAAGGTGTTGAAGAGGAACAAAGAATTATAGACGAGTTTGAAAGAGACTTTGAACCATCTCGTGCAGTATGGTGGTATACAAGAGAATGTGGACTATATCGTCTACTTCAACGAGCTTTCCAACAAATGGATTTTCATGTGATTGTGACCATACGTTTAATAATTAAATATCTTTATAGACAATTGAGCGAAGAACATCAGCAATTACGAAATGATTTAATACAAAATGCTCATTCTACAATTCTTCGCGTCTATCGATCAGAAGCGATGAAAATAAATGAATTTGAGATATTGAAAACAAAAATTGGTCAGCTTCACTCCGTAAAAAGTCTATTTATCACTTCATTGGATCGAAAAGTAGCATTATCTTTTTCTCGAGCTATGCAATTGAGCTCCGATTGCGTCAGCATTTGTTTCGAGATTGATATTGATACAACATTATCACTATTATCTTATATCCAAGTATCACATCTTAGTTATTCCACATTAGACACAGACGGCGTTTTGTTAATGCTTGGTACTATATATGTAGTTAATAGCATTCACTATGATTCAGATGTTGAACTATGGATAGTTAAAGCCTCACTTTGTGGTGAAAATGACTATCGTTTAAAAGATATAATTGATTATATAAAATATGAATTGAAAGATACAACGAATTTTATAACATTGGCTGATCTATTCGTTAAAATGGGAGAATATGACACAGCAAAAGTTTATTATGAAAAATATCAGGGTGAGCCTTCAGCCAATGATCCAAATAGAAAACGTGCTTGGAATGGACTTTCAGAATTAGCTGATATTCAGGGCAACTTTTGTATTGCAATGAAGCAACTTGACAAAGCACATCAATATTTTAAGGAACAATTAGATATATGTAAACAGTTACCACCACATCATCCACAATATGGTAAATGTTATTCAAATATTGCTAATTTATATGAAATTGAAGAAAAGAAAGACGTAGCATTAAAATATTATAAAAAAAACATTGGACGTATATCATCAATCATTACCAGCCTATCATCCAGATATAACAAGAATTGAAAATTGTATTGAACTTTTAATGCCGGATGGTAAGTCTAAAATTGTTTGTTATATACAGTAAACATTTCTATATAGATGGCTCAGTCGGAATTTTTGTTCGCAATAGCTTTTAGAATATCTCCAGAATTCCACACTCCAGAACAAAACGTAAATTTAAGCCTGTTGGAACATGCAAAACCAAAACGTGTTTTGAGAAGTTTCAGTCCTCTAGGATACATGGTCCAGGATCATTAGACTTGTTAATACACTTTCAACGGATCGGCTGAGAGTAGTTACTCAAGGTTGAATCTGTCTGAAAAATGTAAAACTTTCAAAAGGCACAGTTTTTGGTCCTCTACAGGGCAGAGATGGAAAAGTCAGATGTTTTGTCACAAACCTTCAATATTACTGCTCCTTTTAGAAAGTACAGCAACAAAACCGAATACATTGGCTGGTGGCATTTCCGGTGTATTTGAAGATGATGCAGATGCAGCAGATACCACGAGTACTAATCTTGAAACTTTTCTTATTGTTTGGTTGGATGCAAATGTAACGAAGACACAAGATAATTTAGATACATATACTGAACTACGTGCAGCTGTGAACTATATTAAAACATTTGATGAATTACAAAAATGTGAGGAATACATTCTACGTATCAAACGTGAAAAAATTATTTTAATTGTTTCCGGCGGTCTTGGTCGTGAAATTGTGCCACGTCTACATGATTTAGTACAATTAAATTGTATCTATGTTTTCTGTATGGACCAAGAAGCTAATGAAGAATGGTCAAAAAATTATTCAAAGGTGTTTGTTGTTTGGGAAAACTAATTTTGTAAAATCTCTAAGCATAAGTAATCAGAAATGAGGTCTAAAAGAGTTTTCGGTGGACACAGTACAATAATTCCCTATCGAAACTTATTTCGTATGTTGACATATATTGAATTTATAAAAGAGCATGTCATTTCAAAACCGTTTTTAATGCTTACCAGTGAAACTAGCCTAAGTATAAGAAGAGCTGAGTAGTTTCTAAACGACCCGTGCAAACATCCACATGATACAAATTAGCCTACATTGACCTTTTAGAAGTACAAAGCAAAGAACTTTATGAGGGCTGAATAAAATAACTCTTAGAAATATCAAGTAGACTATGGGATAGAAAGTTAGGAGTTTTCGTAGATTAATAAATTTCGTAGAGTGCCAGTTTCTTCCAAAATGTCCTGTCCGTCAGGTCGGCATTCCGCACTTGCGCCTGACGTCCTTAAATGTTGTGGACCCACTGTGTTACATTTTTCTACGAAATTTTCGTTTTACGAAACTTCAACTTAGAAGCCATGTGGTATTTGATGTAAGAAGAGTTTTTCAGATCCAAGGCTGGACACTGACGATACTAAGTGCCCTTTCTCTTGGTTGTTTTTAAGGTTCGATCAGTCATTACTGAACGTGAAGAATTAATTGAAAAAGTTAGTAAGGATCAAACACTTCGTAATATTATTGAAGATCCTGTACCGATGAGTATTTCAAAACGTACGTCTATAGTTAAAGAACTAACAGCGAAGGATGTATCAAAAGCAATGGGTGCCATTCTATGGTTTCAATTATTGATTGAAGTATTACTACGTATGCCACATGCCGAAGATGCTAAAAGGGATCTGCTACAAACATGGAAAGAAAATTATAGTGGCAATCCAAGTGAATTAGAAATTATCGATGCATTCGAGCATCAATACACAAAAGAAAATGCAATTTGGTGGTATACACGTGAATGTTCACTATATCGTATTCTGAACAAAGCGTTGCGTGAACAATCGATTGATATTATGTTATTATTCCGATTTTTTATGAGTGAATTATCAAAACAAATGTCCGAATTATACTCCGATCAAAATTTAAGAAATGGTGCTGGTGGACGCATAATACATGTTTATCGTGGGCAAACAATTGCTAAAGAAGAATTTGAACAAATGCAACAAGGTATCGGTGGTTTTATCTCAATTAATAGTTTTTTTTCGACAAGTATGGATGAGTCAAACGCCATTCGTTTTGCTAAAGTGGGAGCTATTACGGAACAAACACGAATTATACTATTTCGTATTAAAATTGATAGTCGTCTGCCAACGAAACCCTATGCTGATATTGAAAGATTTAGTTTTTATCAAGGTGAAAAAGAAATCTTATTTATGCTTGGTTGTATATTTCGTATTGATAATGTTACGTATGATGATAATGATAAATTGTGGATATTAGATTTGAGTTTGTGTAGTGACGACGATTTTGAACTAGAAGAAGTTTTTTCGTATATGAAAAAAGATATTGGTGAAGAAACATCGATGATTACATTGGGTAATATTTTAGTTAAAATGGGTGAATATGATAAGGCTGAACGAATATTTTTAAAAATTGATCATAAGGATGGTCTAATACAAGTTATGGAACAGAAAGGTAATTATTATTTAGCAATCAAAAATTATCAACGCGCAATTGATTATTATGAAAAAGTATTAGAATTACGTCATCAATGCTATCCTCCACCACATCCAGAGATTGGTAAAAGTTTTGTTTCACTTGCAATGGCATATGAATTTCAGAAACATTATACAAATGCAATGGATTACTATGATCGTGCTATTAAACAATACAAACGTACAATGAAAGAGAATCATCCACTAGTTATACAAACTAAAAATAATTTACAAAAACTTCAAACTACAATTAGTAGTCTGACTGGTCTATGGGTTCTATTTGGAACTCAATCCCAATTAAGCACATAATTAGGCTGGCCATGAAAAAGGTTTATAAAAAAGAATGGTGAAGAACGTGTCCCGAAAAAAAATAACGCCTTCGAACACGTTCAGACGCATTCCTAGTAAAGACGAACGCGTTTCTGCTCAAGACAAACGTGTTGTCATTGAATGCGTCCCTAATCGATAAAAAACCGTTCTTGGGGACCGTGTTCGAATGCGTTGAATAGTGATCACGTTCTATGACTGTGAGACGCATTTGAACAGTTCAAAAAGGGCGCGTTCCTACAGTCTCAGAACGTGTTCGTGCGTTTAGGAACAACGCATTCCTGATTTAGAAGAGTCCGTTACTCAAGAGCACGTTCGGATTCATTCATTAAGAGCGCGTTTTTAATTGTTCCAAGTCGAAGGAACAGAACGTGGTTGACTAGATCTCAAGTTGGCATATGAACGTCGTAGCTGATGTGCTTTTGAGGACTATCCAAAAACTGAGAAATAGGAATTCCAATACCGATAGAAGTCTGAAAAACCAATGGGTTATAAATCTTATATCTCAGTTCTTGGACACGGCTGACATTATTCGCAATCACGCTTTGGCGCTCGTTGTTCGGTGTACAGAGCTTGTGTTGCGCTTGTTCATCTGGTTGTCAGGATCTTTCTTCGTGCCCCGCTCTCTCTTTCATCTCGTTGTCCACACTCCTCGCTCTTCTGTACTTACATTTCTCTCGTTCTTCACTCATTCTCATTCATAGCTACCATCTCTTGTGGCTCTAACGAGATCATCTAGTTCCACAGCTCCCTTCTCGTCGCCTAGCAACAATAATAAAGCCCACGTGGATCTTTATGACATATAAAGATAAAAATATTTGATAAACAAGTGTAAGCGTGTAAAAAGAATATGGAAAACTGTGGTCAGAACTCAGATTTAATAAAAGTCAGTCACAATTCTCAAAACAATGTTGAATCATCCAGCATCATCCGAAAAACTATTTTCGTCATCTCGAAATTGGATTAGAACGATATTATCGTTAAGATATCAAAAGAATGTCTACAGCCACTTTCTCGTTAAATATAAACATGGAATTCAACTTATAAGTAATAAGCGCGATATAGCCTAATAATAACTCGTGAGACTCATGATCATACGGTCCCGAGGTCGAATCTAGGACAAAGAAAAGAAAAACACTCCTGAACGCGTTCTTTGAGACTGAGACTGCGTTCTAGTACTAGAACAACGAGTTACCGAGAAGAACGAATTACTGAGAACGGTGGTCACCTAGGAGAGGAGCTTCAGAGACGGAAAGAACTGAGCGAGAGTTGAGAAGGGCGCGGTAGTACAGTTTTTTTCTATCAGTTTACAGGAATGTGTTCTTCTCAACCAAGCACGCGTTCGAAAAGAACGTGTCCACCAGACGCTTTTAGCGTTGCTTTGGAACGCGTTTTTGTTGCCTAAGAACGATTTCTTTCTGAACACGTTTTCTTTTGCAAAAAAACGCATTCCAAAAGAACGCTAAAAGCATCTTTAGGACGCGTTCCATTTTTCAAGGACACGTTCTTGGCCGTTCTTTTTTATGAACTTTTTCTCATGGGTGATGATTTGCTTCGAAAGTCCGAACTTAGGAAAAATAATATAAAAATATCTAACAAATATATACAAATAAGATGATGTATTTTGGTTTAATTTTGTGAGGAAATGGATAATACATGAACGAAACAATGTAGACATTACAAAATTTATAAAAAGAGTCGCCACTTGATATTTGAATGAAGAAATAATAAGCATTATCGCAATAACGTTTTGTGTATACAATATTTTGAATTCATATATCTTCATAAAGCGACGCGAAATCAAATCTTTTCCATTTTTTTCTAATCTACGTATTCAGTAATGTAACAATATAATCAGTTTGGTGGCAAAACAATTGAGCCTTTTGAACGTATTCTTTGTTCTAAAATAGTCTTATGAGCGAATAATACGTTGCTGATCTTTTGTAAATGCAGGATGTTTCAAAACTTAG